GAGCAGCGACGGCACCGCAGCACCGCTCCTTGTGCCGCCGCGGGTCTGCACAAACTCTCCTGCACAGCGCCTTATTCAGCAACTCGTATGTCATCACCTTTTTAGTGCACTCCTTGAAAGTACAAAACATCATTAGTTACATGTGTCATAGCAATTAGGGTCAGTCAAACCCTTAAGACGACAGTGCTGCGTCGCAGCTTGTAAATACAAACGTTTCCAAAATGTAGTGGTTGAAGAACAGTGGTGCAAAAACAACCGACCGAGCGGGCTGAGACAGCAGCAAAGAGGGAAAAAGCAGCAAACGAGCGGGACACCAAACGCCAGCAGTGCCCGGGCACGGGTGTGGGGGAAGAGGGGCACCTTCGCTCGCACAGGTTTGTCACCCCAAACCTGGCCTGATGTGCCGGGCTCCCGGCCGGGGGGGTGCGGGGGGATGATGTGGGGGTTGATGCAGGGAGCAGCCCCCCTGGCCAGCCAGCACCGCTCACACGGGTCCAACCTCTGCTTCCAAAGCTAGACTGGACAGAACACATCATCTCCCAGCATTAGCTGCGAGGCAGACAAAAATGGTGCTGTACTGCGGCCAATTCGGCTTTGAGCATTTCAACATCTGAATCCACTCGTGGGCTTTAACACATGAAAGGAAAAACACCAGTCCAGCCCAGCAGCACACGGCAGGTCACGGCTTCTGACCTCCAGAAATGACCACAACCAAAACTGGAGAACATTACACTAGCTCTTTTGCAATAAAGCAATGGCATTCATAGGCACGCGCGCACACACACACACAAACCATGCGTGTACACGCACATACGTGCATGTATGTCATTGCACAGGATGAAGGATGTGGTGAGAGATGACCCAATAGAACTTCCATTAGTGACACTAAGTTGCCAACAGCAATGGAATTAGGCAGGAAAGTGAATTGCCAGGATCCTCCTACTCTTATTAAACACTTAATACAAAAGCTTTTAAAAACAAAACAATAATTAGCATTGTTTACAACCAACTTTTTTTTTTTTTTTTAAATCATTAAAAAGGAATTCCCCCTCCTGTTGATACACTAGGGAACACTAACTGAAACTAACCTTTAAATTTAGCCAAATCAAATAGTTCCTATGGATAAAAAGCCAAAAGGCCACAGCAACACACAAAATTGATGCCTCATTTTAATCTATTACTAGTCCAAGCCCTCTTCTAGCCTGTCTGACATGGGCAATTTTGGAAATAAAATTTCAGTATCTATAGCCACAAATCTAAGTTTGCCTATGGCAAAAACTATACGAGAAGGCCCGGCAGATTTCACTGCACTGTTCTTGTATCCAGCCTACCATGCAACTACCTAGTTTTGGATTTTAAATGAAGGTAAACTTCCCCCTTTAAATACACCTTCACTTACTGGAAGGTTTAAGGCTCATGCCTCACACCTTTGGGT